AACAGGACTACAGAGGTGGATAAAGCATGGCCATAAGCCTTTAAGAAGCATAGAATTTTTTCCATCCTTTTCTCCTATCCAATTAAGTTCCCTGTTCACTTTCATTAGTCTTTGGTGTATGGGCATTTGATGGCATTTTGGTTTAAATTTCAAGTATGCTAAGCTACTTTCTGTGGACCGACAATAGAATTATCACTTGATTGTTGTTCTAAAGACAGGTTGAATCCAGCTGTTGTGATCTGTCATCATTGTAATAATTAGAACTTTTTGTTTCATTATCTCTAAAGACCTATTCAATAGTCTGTAAGTGTTTAGAGCTATTGGATAAACTACATAGATGAAATCTTAGCATGAAGAAAACTGGCATTTTAAATATTGACAGCAAGAGAAAAATGTTATAATGATATTGGATTTTGATGGCTTTATTAAAGTCCATAATATCCATGAATTTGACATCGTGATATCAGAATCTTCCTAAGTGGAAAATAAATAAGATAATTTAAAAAATGACTTTTAGTACCTACTGAGCATTAAATTTATTTTCTTTGAAATTTTGAATAGTCATAGTCCCATCTTATATTCCCTTTAAGGCTGGAGGTTAGCATCCCTCAGCAGGAGATCACTATACACCTCCACTAAACAGAAATGTGCTTTATTTACAACACAGGGAAATGGGCAAGGAAATCATCTCTTCAGGTTGAAATTTCCTTCTGAAGAAACAACATCACAACAGATCACCTTGTAACTCAAAGAATGGAGTGTCCATTGCTCTTAGCTATTCTCATCAGTGTTTAAGAAGTTCTGTACTGCCAGAACCTCATCTGGCGAGAGATTGGATGTCCCTCAAGCACTAGTTCCTTACATAATCTACCAGTAATTTGATCAGATTGATTAAAATCTTGATATACAAAGTGGATGCTCATGTCACTCACAGAAGCAGCTAAGTCTAGATTTTCTTTTTAAATTCTGACCTAGAGGATAGTGCTAAAGAAATATCCAGGATGCCCAAACTAGAGCTTTTAAAAATTCAGTTGTGACCTGGCTTGAGTTCCAGGTTCCTGGCTTTGACCTGGCCTGGCCCAGTATTGGCTGATGACAGGCTTATGAGGAGTGAAATAGCTAGTAGGAGGTTTCTCTGTCTCTGTGCTTTTCAAATAAAATGAAAATACATTTTTAAAAGTACAGTTTTTATAATAATGAGTTAGGTACCTTTTGCTTTAGCTAAATTTGGCTAATCTTTAGTTTTGGTAATCTTCTAAATGTATGGCCCATTGCATAATTTCTTTTTAATAATTCTGTGGTAAATTTTTTTATCTTAAATTCATGGTTCAAAAGTTATAATCTAGCTAAGTAGCTTTGGAACCAGTAAATCGTGGATTTAACCCTCTTGAGATGGCACTGTTTGGTAAGTTTCTGCTAAGTCAGCAGTCAGTCCCTTAAACCACAAGGAAGAGCTCTAGATAATATTAAGGGATTAGGCTGGTCACATGTCCACATTTTCCTCACACAATGTCACCTCCTTCTCTGCCCCTCGCATCCACTTCTGTTCCTTTTCTTATCTCATTGATCATACCAGAAAGTGCTTTCTTCCTCAGATCTGTCAGCTCCCAGAGGAGAAAGAATATAGAGCCTGTGATTTAAGAGACTACCCTTGAAAGTTTCTGTTTTCTCTGTTATTAAAAAAATTTTTAATGGACTATGTGTACATATTGTGGAAGAACTCAAACTTGTTTTCTCTGGTCTGTGCATTCTAATGCTTTTACTAGAAATTAAATTGTAAAATTGGTGAACTCTTTATTTTAAACAGAAAGAATTTCATCATTCTTTTTTTTTCCCCTAATGTTCAGTATTTGACCTTTTTTTTTTTTTTTTGCATCTTGTAAAATGTACCTGTGATTCTTTAAATACCTGGCTTATATACTTTGGTTTTCTATGTGTGGAATAATAGCAAATTGTGAAATATTACAGGATCCCTATCTGGTTTTCAACGATGGCAGACGTGGCTTTTTGTAGCTTTAGTGTTTATTCTTAGGCTAGGGTAATACTTCTGTCAAAGGAATATCAATATGTCCTTAGAATTGTATCTACAAATCCCATTGAATCTGTTAAAAACTAACTGAAAATTAAAATTAAAAATTTTTTTTAAAAAAGTGAAAGGAATGTGCTTGGGTCCTGTTCATGAATACCCCACGTTGGGTAATCCCAGTCTAGAGAGATGAGGAAGCGCCTGTGGTATGAATGCCTTTTCAGTGGATAACTATCCCTTCCATGGTACTCATTCCTTTTCCCCTCCTCTAGTAAGGTGTACTGCATAAGGGACAGGCTATCATTTTTTTCCTTTTTTGAAAAGAGCTCTATAGATATTTAAGCAACCATTATATAGTTGCATACACAGTGTGTTGCTCATGTACAGGTCTGTATAGTCAACTAATTTCTGAATGCCTAGCAGTGCAAGTGAGGACTCTACAGAGGACATCATTGCCATTGATAGCTCTGGAATAGGAGTCTTCTACTTTGAAGTGCGTTTCTTTCTTAGGATTAGAAGCTATGGTGTTTTGTTCTTGTTTTAATTTATTGCTGTATCTGAGGCAGCGAGAGAAGTTCTCCAAAACCTCAAGACATTTCCAATAATTGTCTTGTTATTAGATCACAATGAGTGATTTTACTTCAACGATTTTCACTCTGTACCCTTGTCCTACAATGTAATTGACTTAAATTGTTAAGCAAAAACAGTAATTTCTGGTCTCTTTAATGCATAAGCTGATTGCTGACCCCAGTTCAGATTTGGTTATCAGTAGCAGAAAGACTCACAGACTTCTGCCACCAACGGGTTAAATTCTTTCACCAAATATGTTTATGAGGGCCCACAACTATGTCAGCGATACTGCCTTTTTTTTTCTTTTAACTTTCTAGTTCACTAATCAAATGTATGTTAGATTGATTATTGTAAAAGTATAAACCATAGAAAATTTGACAAGATAGATGTGTAAATTATCCTTCTGACAGAACTAATGATGCACTCCAAGCACCTTCTGTTTTCCAGCGCTTGGTGAGCAACTTCATTAAATATGCAGTGGCTGTTGGGTGGCTTCTCAGATGATGGTTCAGTTCCTTGTGGAATTGCATTATTACAAGAGGTGTAAAACCAGGCAGACAAGCTAGCTGTTGGGCATCCTGCTGAGGTTCTAATGTGCTCCATCTTGTTGGAGCAGTTGTTTGCAGTCTTTTCAGGACAATTACATCCATAACCACAGGACGCATTCAGTGAAACTATATTACAGATAACAGTGGAGACTGGCATTGACTGCTCTTCAGCCCTCTCTTGAGCTGCCTCAGTATCGGGAGTTTTAGTGATACAGTAATGCTACTCTGCCACTCACAGAGTACGTGCTGGATTTTTTTTTTTTTCATCCTGAGAAGCAAATCTGGAAACACTGATTTTTAACTTTTTAAAATTATTTTAAATCATAGAATATTAGAGTTCAGAAGACTTTATAGATCCTAATCTATTTGCACATCAGAAAACCGAGGCAGAAGTAGTCTTGGGTTGCCCCTTAGGGAGATAGAGGGTTCTGGTGGAGCATGGTAGAGATTGTATGAGTAAGAATTTGCATTGTTGAGCTTCAGCTTTAAAGGTTTTTAAAACTTTTTGTTTTAAATTTAAGATTTTTTTTCTTCCTTTTCTGAACTGCATTTCCCCTTCTGTTAATGCCAGCAACAGTTTTTTTTTTTAATTTCTAAAATCCAAGCAGAAGTATTCTGTTTTCTGAGGATATCACACTATTTATTATTTTGATGACAATTGGATGATTTCCTGGCAAACTGGACACAAAAGCTGGTTTGAGCTGAGCTTGAACTGGTAGTTAAGGTTTCTGAAAGGCAGATGATGTGATATATCACTGCAGCCTGATAAATGGGAGTGCATTTTAGAGTGACAGCCCAAATACTTTAGTGAAAAAAGGTTTCCCACTTCAGTTGGCCAATTAAATCACTGTTGATGACTTTGGATCAGTAATGAACATTTGTGGAAAATGACCATTTGAATGCAATTATTACAGTAATGCATTTGTCTAAGAAATACTAACTGCAAGTAATTCTCGCTGTAAATTAGAAGATTTACCCATTTTGCCATAGATAAATCAGCATACTGTCTTGATTTTTAATGCTAAAGCAAGTTGACAGTTAAATTCTTTTATAGATTAAGTACATATGCTTTCTTAGAAAAACCGTGCTTAGAAAAGTTTAGGTTTTTCAATGAGTGTCTTTTAAAATATAATTTACACTACTCACCATTATGCACTTCATTATTCTCAGAATAAATTAGCAAGAATTAGAAACAAAGAGTGGGGACGTTATGTAGTATATAAAAGCAAGCTATTAAGTTTAAGATGGATTAGGCATATAATTTATTTAGTGTCAAAAACATCTCTATAGGGAGAAGGTAGTATTTGAGAAGATGCAAATTTGTTTAAAAGTACTATGAAAACAAAAATGGAAATATTTATAACTAAATTGTTCACATCTTCTTTTTAAAGCTTTTGTTGTGTCTTAAAGTATTTAATGGAAATATATCCTGTAATTTCTTTTGCTAAGTTTACCTAACACATTCATGTCAGTATGGTATTAAGATTCTTAAGTTCATTTTCTCTGAAACTTTGGCATGTTTGGTAGTTAGGAAGGGGGTGGCTCTTTTGAAATGATTGCTTTTCTCATTTTGTTACTTGTAAAATGGGCTGTAATCTCAGTCCAAGCTTCTTTCAATCTCCATTTCATAGTTTACAGAGAAAGGAGACACCGTGGAGCATGGACTTCCCCTGGGAATACATTGGGCTTAATGAGCTTGATAGTCTGGTGGGCTCAATAAATCAAATAAAGCAAAACACTTCTCATTTTTGAATAAAAGCATTTATCACACAGTGTTTGTTCACTCATGGTCACAAGATTGATTGGTTCCCAACATCATAGTATATATTGAAGCATTTTTGATTTTGTTTTTCCAGTGGGCAAGTTACGGAAGCAGTGGCTAAAGGAAAGTATCTCTGACGTCGGCTTTGGGATGCTGAAGTCTGTCAAGGAGTACGTGGACCCCAATAACATCTTTGGAAACAGAAACCTTTTATAAATCCTTTAGAATCATTATGGAAAATGTCACTTTTTTGTTTTTTAAAGTCTTCAACTATGGTTATACCAGTAATCAAATATATCATGGACTATATTTTGGCTACATTTGTTTGTTGGTTTAAAATAAGTTTGTTTTCCTTCTGTAGTTTGTTTTGTTTCCACATCTGCGGATTGACAGATGGTATTCCTAAATCTCTCACTGTAGGCATCAGTTTACGGCCAACCGGTTGTCATTTCAAATATTAAGTAGCTCAAGGCTGCCAGTTATTTCAGAGGAAGATGCTGCCGGCTGTTTTGTACTGAAGCTTCCTCTTGGGGAACAAAGACAGATTTGGTATCATCTATCGCTTATCTAGCCTCTTTTTAGAACAATGTTTCTAGAAGCAGATATCTAGGGAAGGATTCCACTGAGGAGTGTTTGTGTGTGTGTGTGTGTTTTTAAGAGCATATTCTGTTGTGAGTAGGCCAGTAAGGGAGGATGCTCATGAAAGAACATAGGCAACATGTTACTTAGGACTTGGTTAGTGCTGTAAGGTGCTTGGCCTACAGTTTTCTTTGAAATTAGTATACAGTTACAAAATCTTAAATCATCAGTGAACCAGTTACTCTGTTCTCCTTGTTTCTGTTGCTACTGAGGGATGAGTTGTATTTGTATCACTGAGATAACCCAAGATTATGTCCTACTTCACTCATTCTATATTTTGTGAGAAAAGCCAACTTACCATCATTGTCCATGAAGAACAGGTTTACCATGAAGTGAATGCCTCCGTTTAACCTAGAGTCCTCACGTTTCTGATTTTACTTCCTTGTTGCTGAACTGCAGAAGCATCTATCACAGGAGCACATGGAAGATCCCTTACACTTAACGTCTCCAGTTGAAAGATTGTTTGGCTAAAGAACAGTCATTGTTCAGCTATTAATTTCGAAAGACTTAACAGTTTCAATGACAAAAAGACAAAAATCTTTTTTTTTAAATTAGCCCAAACAACATGATACATTTTCATTATAAAAGTAAAGTTTTGATTTAGTTTTTAATAATGGTTTAATGCCTTTTTTGAATTACTGGTTTAACCTAAATTTTAAAAAATGTAATGTATTAATGCATATACCATAATCAAAAGTTTGAAATATCCTATTTCTTAAATAATGAGATCATTAATCACATTTAGCAAACATTTTTACATCCAAACTTGGATATTAAAATAAGTGAAATGCTTACTTTGAATCACTGTCAGAGTTCATGATTCACATTTTGAGATGGATTCTTTTCTTAATGCAATACCTAACTTTTGATAATTTTTTAAAATTAATATTTGATCATATATAAGTCAACATGCAGACGATCCTTTTAAAGGACACACTGTCTGTCTATGTAGCAACAGCTCCAAAGTCTTTTTGGGCCGTTTGATACCTTTTATATCTGAAGTAGCCTTAACCAGAAAAGTGAAAATTTAAAATTGACAAAATGATATTTTTAAGACTTCAAAATTATAATTTTTAACTATTAAAATTGGCCTCAAGCTAATAAACTTAAATCTGTAAGCAAATTAAAATTAAATATTAGTTTAGCAACAAAAACTAAATATTTATTTTTTAGATGCTGCCTCTCTTCATTGTGATTTATTTTTAATTATAAAATGTCCAGCAAATCTTTGCTTAAAGCCCTTGATATTTGAAATTGTGTGACACTTGATGAGAAAATTGCCTCTAGAATTATAAAATTCTCAGCTTTCTAAAATGCTTCTATTCATGAAGGTAATTTCTCTAATCGGTGATCAAAATGTAAAATTTAACAAGGTACTAATATCTCACTGGAAGTGTATACATGTTTCTGAATAGTTTTTTTTTTAATAAAACAAATTCATAAACAGATCCACTCCTTTGCATGTGATTGTTACATTCTTTCCCAGGGAGCTTGGATTTCAATAACCTCAGCAATCCGTATTTAATATTAGGAAGCTATAAGTGTAACACCTGAGATCCTTATATTCACTATTCTTTATCAGCATTATGGAAATCACTGCATTAGGTCTATTTCTTTTTCCCATGTATGCAGGACTCCCCAGCCATGATTTTATAATGGTGACTGCATTATATAGTTCACATCATTTCTACAGGGATCACATTAAAACACAAGAACCTTCATCTGTACTGTTTTCACTCTGATTTATCAAATCAGAAAGCCTTCCCCCACTTTCACACACCCACTTCTGGGAGGTGCCTCAGTATAGACTTCCAGTCTGTGGAGGACTGAGCTCATGAATATGCACAGAAGCACTTAAACCAGGCCTCTTCTGAAGTATCTGAAAATGGCTTCATAAAGTTAAAGCCAGGAGAACAGTGTTTATGTGAGGCTTCTTATCTCATTTTGAGTATGTTGATTTAAAATTTTTTAAGTCTGTAGCCTATTTAGTTTTCAGTATTGCATAATACTGACTTCACTTTCTTAAAGTTGTATTTATAATGTTTTACTTAAGTTTGATGATGTCACATTTGGGTTGGGGTTTCCCTGGGAATGGGAACTTGCTGCTAGTGAGAGATGATTTTGAATACTAAAGATAATATGAACAGGCTTTATTGACCCTTAGAGAAAATGTTGCCTTAATGTTTGGTGCAATTTATAGTAATATGTCAGTGAATTTTTGGTAACCTGAGCTAAGTAACTTGAGCTTTTTTAGTTTAGTAAGAGTTGTGAGAAGCCACATGTTTATTGTGCCCAGGATTGTACCACAAGGAAAGAGGATTAAATTCTTTTTCCCTTCTGAAGAATTGGGAATTTTCTTCCTAAAAGTGCTTATATATTATAGTACTGTTACTTAAAAATTATTATGAAACTGGAAGCCTTTTGGTGTGCCTAAGTTGATACATTTTGAAAAAACAAGTGCAGTAAAGGATGAGCTTCCATCAGTGTGTATTATACCAGATACAGATGGTTGCAAGGACACCTCCCCCCCCACCCCAGAATACTGTATGAATAATTGCTAAATCCTAGCTTGCAGTTTTGAAAATGCCTCTTGCATGTTGGCCCATGAGATTTTTCTCTTAATGTATTCTTTCACAGCTGCTTAACCATGGATGATCAGCAGAACTGTAATCCCAACCAGAAGTGTGATCCTTTGGCTTTTCAGATGAGGCCGGATTTGCTTGCACTTCTGTTCTACATAATTGTTGGAACACATTTGTTTACTCTGGGTTGATTCACAAATTCCATGTGCTGGTGCTTGAGGCAGTCAAATGGGATACTGTGGGAGGCATATCTGTATTTTAAGAAACACTGAGACAGGAGTTAAGGACAGGTTTAATAATTTTGATTTACCACTTAATCTTTAGCAACTTTGGTTTTAATCAGGGCTTAGCTCATGGTAGGAGAAAAGTGGAAAATGTCAAGTACCAGATGAGGATGGAAGAATCTGCAGTGTTTCTCCTTTGGCTTTATGAGCTATGGAAGTGTGGCTTTGCTCAAGGCTTCGTGTTCCCAAATGAGCCATATGTCAATATATTCACTTAATTCTTACTAATTTCAGTTTCCTGAAACAGAGACAACTTATACATTGATGTTGAAACCCAGAAAGTGTAAAAGGTTTACTTAAACTGTTGAAATATAGTGTCTGATATGAAGGATGTAAGTTACTCAGCTTTCTGTTCCCTAAGCCAGTGTTTGTCTTCAGTGTGAAATTTAACTGTACAAAGTACTTGTAATGTCAAGAGAATATAGAAACATATTATTAATAAAATGGACCTGGGTCTAAGAATTCTTTTTCCTTTAAGGGGAGTGTGAAGTGGTTTATTCTTCTCTTTGCATATGGGTTTTTCTTTCAACTTTAGTTTTTCATCTTCATATTTACACTGATTTGGAAATAGAAAATTATTTTTATAATTTTATTGATGTAGCATGATCAAATACAACTTACAAATCCCTTTGGCTGTATTGCTGAAAATATTGTTAACTAGATTTTATTAGATTCTAATTATTTTTTAAGTCAATAGTATATTCCCAGGAGGTGTTAGTCTTCTATCAATGTGAAGCATCCCCTTTTCAATCTTGAAAGACTTTCAAGAATGAGCACTGTTGTGCTCTTCTAACCACAACAATTAATTTCTTCAACAAGAGTAAGGACCACTGGTATATAGAACATTCGAGCCAAAGAACCATCACAGAATTCAGTAACTTTAGTTCTGTGAACATGAAATGATTTCTTTTTTTAGTTCCCAAGGGAGATTATTTTATATATTTTCATAAGGAAGAGAGATAATATATTAAATGTCATTAAGAACATTTTTCAGGAACTCTGAATTCCAAATCTGAAAAAGAAAGAAAAAATTCATTTTCATTTGAATTTCTAAGCTACATATGTACATGTTTTTAAGGCATCTTACTGTTAGCAGTGTTTTCCATGGATACCACAAGCACCCCATGAAACATGTTCTTAATTCTTGAAGGAATCATATTCACATATCCGAAAAGGATGTAATACTTGTGTTGGTATATGGTTTCTGTAGTTAGTTTTTGAGCTACTCAAACAATATCCCTCCCAAAAGTTCACAGTGCCTTGTTGGGAGCTTCTTTTTTCCATGAAATAGCAATTTAAAATGAGTAGGAGAGGATGTCTTTAAAGACAGTTTATCAGTTCATGGATATGCCTCTTCAAGAACATATCAGGAATTAAGTAGTTGTAGAACACTGATAAGCCTTTCCACAGTTGGTTTGGATCATCGTCTAGCATATTCAACTATTTATGTGGTAGACCCGTACTCTCATATATGCATCTATGGGATTTGTACCTACTTTCCATTCCTACATTTTCATTTTACTGTCCTAACCTTGTGGCCCTGAGCTGTAGCCATTTGGATGGCCATTGAGACATTCTCCACCTGCTTCTGGATGTCAGCTCCCAACTCCCCAGAGTGGAGTCTGGGAGCAGAGATTCTATTCCTTATATTGTGTCAGTCCTTTTTTGTGTGATGGTGCCTTCAGAATAATGACTATTTCTGTTCCTGGACAATGATAAATCTTAGGAGATATTTGTGTAGGTTATAATAATTTTTGTCCCTTTTTTACCAAGCCTGTGAAATACTTTGACTCTGATACAACTTGACTTGAATAATGTCTTATCCTGAGTCTTCCTCTAAGGCAGTACTTACTCCTGCCAGTACTGTAGTAATCTTTTGGGAACTACATGTGGGTAAGCCCTTGTGTGTAAGCCATTATACTGCTGTAACTGATGCATACAAGCAATTCTCCACATTTATAATCTAAAAGTGGATATGTAGTGGGAAGGAAAATTCCTGAGAGATTCCAGCATAGCTTTGTCAATTCAGACTGAGCCATACTGTTTTCCACAAGGGCTCACACATAATCTCTATACTGTGCTTTCCGTGTATGTTCAGATTCTCGTTTTACTGGCTTTTCTAGACTGTACTGTCTATAAGCAAATGCCCATGTGTGATTTTTAAGATGTGCTGGGAACAAATAAAACAGTACCAAAACCACTCTTTGTTACAGAAATCGTTGTTTATTTCATCTTGATTCCCCTAAACCTTTGTTGATGTGTCATGCTGTACTCTGAGTAAATGGGATACACTCTGTACTCATCAGCAGCCTCTCTACTAGTGAAGGACATGGAACAGAGAGTGATTTCTTACCTGCCTGTGGCTTCCACAATGGAGGCATGGTGGTAGCCATCTAGGCTCTGAAATGGCTGAAGATCAGACCTTTGAACTCTATCTTACATGGTCCATTTTGATAATCACTAGTTACACTGAGATTTTAGCTTTTCTATTTAAAGAAAGCAATTTCCTGCCCAGCTTATTTAAGCTCAGATTTAATGAACCTTAGAAATCATCTCATTCTATTACATTTTACATAATTGCTACCCAACTGTCCCTATCCTCTGGGCCACAAACACAGAACCAGTTCTCTGAATATTTGCTATGACCAAATGGGATTTACTTCCTTTGCAAGAAGCTTCTTCCATGTTAAAATCTTAAGGAATTAGGAAATTTTTTTTTATTAGACTGAAGTCTGTTTCTGTCTTCTACTCATAAGTACAACTCTGCCTTCCGTAGTTTATAAGGAATTGTCACATTGCTTTAAGGCAGATGGGTTTCCTGTTCCCCTGGATTCTCTCCAGTCAGCCTTTGCACCTGTCATTTCTACACTGTCCTCCATTTTAATCCTCCAGATGTACCTGTTTGATGTTTTAAAAGGGATATATCTAGGCCTGAATATAAATCTTCAACATAGTACCCATGCGTGCCCAGTCTAGTCAGCTAACAAAGGCATTTTTGGTTGCATTGCACTGTCAGCCCAAGCTGAAGTTGAATTTAATAAAGGTGGTCTTTTCCGCACGTGACGTTTTGAGTGCATCTCCCCAGAGGCTTCTTTTGTTTGTTTTTTAAGATTTACTCATCTATTTGAACAGCAAAGTTACACAGATGGAGAGAAAGAGAGATCTTCCATCCACTGTTTTATTCCCCCAAATTGCTGCAATGGCTGAAGCTGGGCCAGGTGGAAGCCAGGAACCCCAAACTCTATCCAGATCCACCATGTGGGTGGCAGGGGCCCAAGCACTTGGGAAATCCTCTGCTGTCTTCCCAGGCACATTAGCAAGGAGCTGGACTGGAACTGGAACAGCCAGTACTTGAACCTGTGCCCATGTGGGATGCCGACATCACAGGCAGTGGTTTAACCCGCTGTGCCACAACGCCAGCCCCAGAAGCTGATTTTGAAAGCCTCCATTTCTTGTTTGTCTTTATTAATGTTTGTTTCTTTATCAGGTTTAGTTCCAGATTTTCAAAATTTTAGGCTGTTAATTCTTGATTCTCAATTCAATGCCTTTGGTGCTGGCTGCTTCACTGAACCAGGCTCTGTGTGTTGGGTGACCATGAAGCATACAGGATTTCTGCTTTTTAAAGGCGATTATTAGTATCTTCTACAAAAGGGTATGAATGGAGAAAATGAGTCTCCTCCAACCACAGAATGGAAGCTGCTGCCTTTGTGACCAAATATTACAGCAATGCAAGAGATGCTTTTGCCTTAGTTACTGTCTCTTCTATAAGTGTTTAAGCCATAATATCCTGCACTGATGATTTTTTTTAATGAAACTCATAAAGGAAGTACTGTATCTGATGGACTTAATAAATTTTCATTTTTCAAACTTTATACTCTTTAACACTTAAAAATGTAAGACAGCCTGTTTCTATAAGCCATACATCATCCATAGAGACTGGAAGTTGAAAAATCTTTAAAAATTTTAAAACATATCATAAGTTCAAAACAAACTATAGTCTTTGGACAGTTACAATTCCTTAAAACTACTACTAAGAATTAAAGTTACTGCTCAAGGATTTGAACTACATTAGGGAATTCAAAAAGTTACATTTGTGAGGTTGGCTTTTAAAGTTAGTGAAAAAGAATTCAATGATTATACACATTTTCCATGAACTTTCTGATATCTCTTCATAGCTTATATTTAGAATGAAGTGTAAACTCTGGTGGTTAAAGCCACAGGGTTATGTAGTCAAACAAGCAAGGACCCAGTTACTGGCTCAGTAGAAAAATCAGCTGTTTGACTACAAAATATCGCTTTAGTCCTACAGGTCAGCTAGATGTGAGTCAGCTAGTGAATGGTGAGTAATGGGCTGCAAGTCACACTAACGGCAGGAAGCTCCTGGAGCGTGGGAGTGGGGACAGTGCAGAGAATACCCTCAGAAAAGCACAACCTTTCAAATACTTCCCCATCATCCATGGTCATTAAGAAGGAACCTAAAACCAAAAACTATTGGAAAGTGCTGATCTTCACCTGCAACGAAAAGTTTCTCTTTGGGATATTATCCTTTCAAAGTTAAGTTCTTGAGTTAGGCACTGCTTTCCTGGAGTCAGGCTCACAGCACTGCTAACCCTGAATGTAGAAATGAGCCCAGGTAAGGACTATGGGGCAAAGCACTGAGATTACTCCCTTAACGCTTCTTCTCCAAGGCATTCACCCTTTTTTATCTTGCATTTCCTAATAAGTTTGGGAATCTACCCCACAGCCCTGTATACAGATCAAGATCTTGTGCTGATCTTGTCTGAGAAATCAGATACAGCGTCTGTGTACAAACACATGCTGATGTTCTGTATGTGCATATGTCGGGACCAAGGGGTTGACTAAGATTACAAAGTACTGGATTTAATAATTGACCTCTTTAAAACAATTTTTCAGATATTAAGAAATGCCAAATGAGTAGAAGCTTTATGAAATCTCACTTTTAGTCAAGCAAATTGTTCTGAGCACTTAATACTCTCTAGGACACTGATGGGGAACGTTTTCTCTGCCAAGGGCCATCTGGATATTTATACACCATTCACAGGCTAGGCAAACTTATCAACTTAAAATTAACTTGCTATGGATTTACTGAAGTTCAAATGCTGCCTGTGGTTGCCTTGGCAGAGCCAGACCAAATACAGCCTGAAGCTAATATGGGGTCATTGTAAAATCCCATGCCTTTTCAAAACAAGAAGCAAAGCAGAGTACTTTGCACATGAATTAAAAAAAAAAAGTGTATATCCTAAAAGTAAAGGACAGTAAGTGCCTGGGGAGTTAAGAGATGCCCTCAACTCTCCAAGCCAGGCTCCTCCAGGCCTCAGCATTAGGTCTATGGACTCAAAGTCTCAGGAGACTTTGCTGTAGCCAGCAGTTATCTGAATCCAGTCGGTGCCTTTCTGGAGAGCCCAGGTAAGGAAGGGTGTAAATGCTATGATTGGCCTTTGTTCTGGTAGGAGCAGTCAGGGTTTCCTGATGCATTACTAATGGCAGGAAATCCCAGCTGCCCAGCAGCAAAGGGTTAAAAACTGTTCTGAAAAGCATCTTATGTTCTAAAAGCTAAATTACAGCTACACACATACATTCAAACCACAACCATACAGCACCTGGGTAAACAAATGGTAGCCAAATAAAGGCCAAGCCATTTACAAAAGGGAATCTGGAAAACATTTGTTTTTGGACAGTTTACATTACATACACACATACACACACACACACACACGAAAAAAGTTTTGAGGAAATAGGAAAAAAATTTTAACGTAGATGTTGAAAATAAGATTTCACTTTATTTACTTCTCCAAAGTAAAGGGGTTATGGAGATTGAGAGGGACACAGAGCTACTGCACCAACATTTTTTTTAGTTCAGAAGTTTTTGAAGAACTGTTCCCAGACAGAATGTGGCTCTGGAATACACTGAAGAGGTCATTAAACTTTGATGATTCTCCATACATGGGATTAAAGCATCACTATGATGGCAGCTCAGATAATTAACACTAAACATGGCAAAAATTCAAAACCATTGTACTTCAAAGTCAAATTTTCTAATCCAATAGAATTGAACAACCAGCAGTCATGCTACAGAGGAACTATGCTGAACATATTTCATCTGGGTATCCATGTAGCTCAATGGTTTCTTCATGCTGGAAAAACATAAGCAGTTCATTATGACTGGGGTTCCTTATCTACCAGAAAGAAAGCTATTAAGTTGGAACCAAATTTCCAGTTTTTAGGTAAAGAAATTCTAGAATCAGAAATGATTGAAGCCAGTATTTTTTATTTTTCCTAAGTGAGGTCAAAATGGGGTTACATCTCTGAAGTGAAAGGATAAGGAGTAGAAAAATATTAAAGCTCTTGCAGGGTTCAGAAAACAAAATACCTGACCAGAATGAGTGAGGTTCACAATGGGAACTCAACCAGAATTTATGAACTGGAAACTAGCATTATGAATCTAAGATATAATGACCTTTTCATTAATTATAGGGGTAGGGAAGGAGTTTGGTGGGCTATGGGCCATGTAGCCATGTGATTACAACACAATAACAACTCTAGCATATCCTAAATTACAAACACAAAGGTAGGAATTAAGATATCAGTTTTTAGTACCTGTGCTGTTAGTCACTATTAAAAATAAATGAAAAACAATGATAGTACTTATTCATGTATTCATATTATTAACAAGTTGGGCAAAAGCAAACAATGAAATATGTTTTCATGATAATTGCTTTTTGTCTCTACACCATAGCACCATAATTTTATTAAGGATACAAGATTTCCCAATGAATCTTGCACACTAAAAAATTCATTTATAGCACAAGGAATCTTGATTAGAAAAGCATTATGTTGCACTGGAAAAACACTATTCTAAACTCTACATAAAACATACACATTACAAATTAATATATTAATGAGGGTAAGCTGTTAAACACACAATCCCTGAAATGATTATTAAACATCTAAAGTCTTATACATTAATTACTACTGATTACTGGACTTAATGGAGCCTACTACCAGTTGATGGAACCCTTGTGCAATGACCCTTAAAGATGAATAAAAACCTACATGATACAGGAGGGGAAGCAGCCATTACAAGTTCTAACAAACACAGCATTCATCAATTTTGAATTTTTCCTGGGGTAAAGTTCTTACATTATTTCACTGTGTGGTAGATTTAACTCAAAGCTTTATCTAATATTTTTGTTATAATTCTAAGGAGTACAAAATTCAAAATGTAAAAATATAAAGATGCCAAAAGCTAAGCAGAGATATTATAGTGCAAGACGTACAAAACAGAGCCATTATAATAAAAGCCATTATCAGCCATTACTACGTATTCCAACCTATAATCTCATAAATCAAAGCTCTTAACTGTCTGGATTCATATGTGACTGTATTCTTTCCAATATGCATTCTTTCTTCTTCCAGGGGTTGTTCTATAATAGCAGGTATGTTTTTGCCAAAAAGTTCACAGTGTTCTAGAAATTGGATACATTCTTGAATAACACTGTCACGTAGCATGATTGTGTGTTTTGACATGTTTTCTAATAAGGACAGGAAGCATCTCTTGGCATAAAACCAGGTATCAGTGCCCAGTTTTTTATTATAAGGTTCCAAGCTTTTGATAACTCGAGAAATGCCAAAATCATAATTTCCTTTGGCACAATAAAGTGTTCCTATCACCAAATTCACAATACACAGATGATAGGTTTTCTTGTCTGGGTCATCATAGGAGAGCTGCTCTTCCTCCTTCTCAATCTTCCTCATCAACTCTTCAGCTTCTTCATTTTGACTTGTCATGATATAGGAAACACAGAGGTTAGCTAAAACAACAGCACTGACATTGAGGATGTTATCATAGTGCTTCTTAACTATGGGCTCATAAAATCCAATGGCTTCTTTGTACTTGTTTTCCTGCATGAACAGAACATGAGCAACATTCAGCTTCCACACGTCATGGTCATTACAGAATTCCACAGATTTGCGGAAGATCTTTTCCACCATTGAATAATTTTCAAGGTTCCAGTAGATTTTTGCTTGAGCCATCAACACCGGAATGTACTTCTCAAGGGTGTCGTCATATTCATTCACTGCTTTTTTGATACCTTCCTCGTCTCTGTTGTGTCTTGCTTCCTGTACCTGTTTGGTGAGTCTCCGGAGCTGTTCGGTCAGCATCCCCGCTAGTCCATCCAGCTTAACGAAAGCTTCATCAGGAGCTGTCTGGCAAGTGATCATGGCGTCCAGAAAGTCATAGAGGTAGGGTGTGAGGAACTTGTAAGTCAAATGGGCATTTTCTGCCAAGACATCTGCAGCCAGGTCAAAATACTCATATTTACAGTAGAGCAGCAACAGGTTGCCAAAAGTCTCTGGGGGGAAGGGGTTCTGTTGGAGCAAAAACTGGAGCTTTTCAAACCCTTCCGTAGGCTTGGCATCCATGTTCATTAGTGCCTGGTTGTGCAGGGTCACAGGGTCCAACTCTTCCTCTGCCCTAGGAGGCATGTCAGTGAGGGCTTCCTGAGCCGCTTCATAGTTTTTCAGCTGGTATTCTATGGCTGCCTTGAGGTTGAAGGCTTCTACCAAAGCAGTCTGGTGGAGAACTAAAGTGTTGCCAACACTGCGGATATCAATGCCCTCGGTGGTCATGCCCACACCCAGCTCGGGATGCTGGCGGATGCCACGCTCAATAATGTCAGCGATGTGCTTCAATGCTGGCGCATAGTGCCGGCTGCTGTAATAGGCCAAAGCCAGGTTGTAAGAAAGGTCAGGCTGGTAGCCCAAGGCCTGCAGGGCCGCAAAGAACTTGGAACATGCAGCTTCATACTGCCCTTCCTTGTAGAGCAAACAACCCAGGTTGACCTGGCCATCGGGATCGTTCTCTCCCCCTCCCTCCTCTCCGCCTTCCCCACTGAGCAGCTGCTCCACCAGGCTCCTGGCCCCTGGCAGATCACCCTCGCTGTACTTGATGGCAGCCTGCAGGCGGAGGACCCGGTTGTGGTAGGCGGGGTTGTCCAGCAGGAGGAAGGCGACCCGGGTGGCGTCCGGAAAAAGGCAGGCCTTGTACAGGGCCTGGGCCTGGTACAGCCGGTACTGCTCGAGCTCTGGGTGCAGCTGGCTCAGCTGCTCATAGCACTCGGCGGCCAGCGCGAACTCCTGCAGGCGGTAGTAGCAGTAGCCCAGCAGCGACAGGCCGGCGCGGCTCTTCGGGCTGCGCTGCAGCTCTCCGCCCAGCAGCTGCACCGCCTCGGCGTAGCGAGAATCCCGGATGAGCCGGTACACGACCGCGGTGAACTCCCCATCCGGAATCTGCGAGCCGCTCAGGCCCGCCATAACTGCCCAGTTCGTTTTGTGAACTTGTTACCACGGCAACTGTGCAACCGGAAGCGGAAGTCTTTTCGGAGATTACTTGGCAGCGGAAGGACTCCGTTCAGAATAAACAATAACCATCTGATGTGTCTCTCAGTGTCCCACATTCTGTTCGTAGACTCAGTACTGGCGAGTTGTGTGAGTCATGCAGGGGAAAAGAAAGACCTCCGTGCCGTTCAGAGGCGGAAGTTTACATTGCGGCATGCACCGTTCCCGTCGCGGTGCCGCTCGGGATGTGGCCGCGCAGCATGCTGGGAGGCGTAGTCTCAGCCGCCCGGACTCTCAGCCTTCGGGAGTTTGCGGTTTTTGTGGTGTTCTCAGGTCTCTGGGTTCCTTGGAGAATGGACTAGGCCCCGACGTCGTCCGTGATTCTGAGGCTCGTACAACTCGCGTTACACACTTATTGGGGTCGTTTCGCGTTGTTTCCATGAAGGGAACAGTTTGGGAAAGCGGGTTATTTCCCTGGGATTAAGTTAGAATTAGTGTAGGTTCTTTTTATGCTGTCCTGAGAGCACACCTTCTAAAAACAGAATGACACAGCCACCCAACATCTTAATTTTGTTCGTTTCTAGAAGTTGAAGAAAGGGAAAAGTGCTGTCATTCTTCCCCGGTACAGGCAGAGGATGAGTTTTAGGTCCAAGTATCTCCCGCCCACCTTTTCGTTAACAGTGGATATTACCAAGCATTTCCTGATTTTTGAAGTTGGTCTTGTGTGCTGCCGTGGTGTTCCAAGCAACACTGCCAGCTAGAAACATTAGAACATGCACGGCCTTGTCTTTTCCAAAGGAAAAAGAAACTAAAATTTGCTCCTTTACTAGGTTAGCTGGTGACATGAGGGCCTGTGAGAGATTGAGATACTCACCCTCTGCTCGCAGGCTCTAATGGTTTTGGATATTACTGAGCTGACCAGAAGTGGATTTTCTTTCAGCTAAAATGAAAACATACTGCCTACATTTCACATTTCAGGTTCTGAGTTTGATCTCTATGCAGACTTAGAGAACGCCCAGAAAGTCATTTTTGTTTTTCTATTGTTAATTTGTCACGTTTTTGGATTTCATATTACTATCCTGGGTCTATTTTTATATAAATTCTGTTGAATTTGTTAGGACTATGAAGGAGCAGTGACAATCAATGGGCTTCATTATGCTATAGAAAATTGCATTTGATCACTAACAAAAAAAACCATAGTCATCGATTAGACTGACGTAGAGAGTATACAATTTGTAGGAGAATAAATACAATTTTCCCATCAAGAATTATGGAAATAGATAAGAGAGCAAAATATAAAACTTGTTTATCCCAGTGAGGTACAGATATACTGTGTATTTTCCAAGATAATCATAAGTTTTGAGCATCTATGATATGTAGCAGCTCTGCTGGTGGCATGGGGCAACATATTGTCTTTGATAGTCATCCGTAATGTGCATTGTCCTTACTCCCACCCAAGGCTGCTCAAGTCCAAGTCCAAGAATATCTTTGCTATGAAGTTGTAGACTTCAGTGCACATACCTTGTTTGCCTCTTCAGTAATATTGCTGCCCATAACTCATATATATATATATGTATATATATACACACACATACTTCTAAAGATTTATTTACTTGAAAGGCTGATAACAGAAAGGGATGGTGATGGTGAGGGAGGGAGCAAAAAAGAGTGCTTCCATCTGCTGGTTCACTCTCCAAATGCTTGAAACAGCTGTGGCTAAGCCAGGCCAGAACAAGGAGCCGGGAACTCATCCAGGTCTCCCATATGAGTAACAGGAACCCAGGTACTTGAGTCAGCATCCACTACCTCCCAGGTGCAATAGCAAGAAGCTGGATTGGAAGTGTAGAAAAGCTGAGACTCAACCGAGGCACTCCAGTATGGAGATCCTTATTCCACTGTGCCACAGGGTCCACCCTCTGTGCACGTATTTTAGAGCCAACAGCAATTGCATGCATGGTACTCTATTGAACTACTTACATATATTATTTCTAATCTTAATAACCATCTTGATTGCTGCATGTTACAAATGGAGAAAGATTAAGTAACTTGCCCAGTATCACACAGCTACATATGAAGCAGCAGGACCATGATAAGTTCAGTAATAAGTGACTGATGAATTATCTTGATCTATGTCTCATGCTTGGGTACAGTTTTGAAGGAATGTTAGTGTCTTGCTTTGGGGACAGGGATTGTTATTTTCCCATTAAAATGCACAAGCAGCTTGGAATGTGCTGTAGAAATTTGAACTTCCTGGCCTGAGTTGTAGCTGTGAGCAGGTGTTAGAAGTGATTAGTGGGGGATGGCATTGGTCCCAGTCATCTGTTTTGCCTAGAGATTTCAGTAGCATCTAAATGCTATACTAAAAATCAACAAACTTCATGCACTTAGACATTCTCCATTGCTGAGAAGTTTCCACAGCTGTGTTCTTCTGAGTCAGACCAGAAAGAGAATCTCCTATTGCATCAATACCAGAAAATTTCAGGAAAGTTGAGCATAGCTTTGGACATGCAAGATCATCAGAAAAAGCAGCTGAGAGAAACCACTATAGCCATCCCATATGCCAAGGCTTCTTCCAATCCAGTCCCCAGCTCCAGCCCTTTCTTGTCTTCAACCTAGGGAAGTGTATGGGTTGAGGAATGCTGGTCAGTGCTGCTCAATAAGCAGGAAGTGTGGGGTCTTCTCCTTTATGCCTGCCTGATTGACACTTGCTCGTTGGAAGCAATTAATACTCAGAAGGCTGATTATTTCAAAATCCTTATATATTGAGCTGAAACTTTGGATGCATTGTTATTAAATCAAAGCAAGATAACAACATGACGAGGGGATATTGTCTTTCATGTCTTCAGCCTCATTCTGTGCTTTACAGAGTTGTGTTCGCATTATGAAATCATTCACATTCAAATGACTTATTGAAACCACATAAAAAGTAAAAGGATTGTCTGCTCTATTGAAGCTTCTCTGATTGCCATAAGCATCTTTGTTTTACCTCTCTGTGCGCATGGCCACTGACGTGGGCAGGAGAGAGGCCGTTCTGTGTCTTCCTCCTTATTTCACGTGATGCTGCTCCAGAGGCCTGGCTTGAAAAAAGCAGGACATTCGGCTTAGACAGATGGAAGGCAGGGTCATTTTCAAAATGAAATGAGTGCACAAATCACACTGTGAAATTGGCATGCCCGTCACTGCTGCTGTGATGGAGCGACTTTCATTTGGTCTCCAATAGGCAATTGGGGAATAGCTTAGTTTTTTGGTCAGGGGTGAGCTTGAAAGGAGGTAAGTTAATTAATGATAGAAATTCTGGAAAGCAATAAACAGAGTGGACTACTATAACATATCATAAGGACCATTTTATTTGCAATAGAATCTTGAAAACCTGGAGCATATATCAAAAACTAAGTCCATACTATTCCCAGCAATAAGAAAGCATTTGGTATTTGCAATAAAATAATTTAGTGTCTTATTGAAAGGAATTGGGCTTTCAGGAAGTAGTATAGGACTCAGGGTGGATTTTGCTGACCGAGGATGTGTATTTGCCATGTAGAAAAATTCCATTTAGGCAACCTATATATGAGTTAAAGGCATAATGTTTGGTACTTAGCACATTTCTGTTTCTCCCTGCCAAAATTTGAGATGATCAAATTCTGTTGTGCAGTCTCTTCCAAACACAATTGGAAATGATTGTTTCTTACTTGCTTTGTAAAAATAGCTACAGCTTGTTGGTAAGCATTGTGAATATTTCAGCCACAGCCATGGTCATATCCTTATCCTTGATAAACGATGGCCTTAAGATAAAACTATTTTCTGGTTGTTATTTTTTGTCTCCCATTCAGTCCAGGCCATTTTATTCTGAAGGTCCAGTTTGGGAGACTGCGTTTCCTTGCTTTCTCTGGGGTCCAGGTTCAGTGTTTCCCCCACTGTGCATCCATTCATGATAATAGGACTGACTTTCCTGATACCACCTCCTTCAGCTTACACAATAACATGGTGTATAAAAAGGAATTAGCATGAAGACACAGTTGTGGGTACAGCCACTGCAAATCGATTCCTCATGGTTGGAAAGTGCTGTGGGTTGTTCTGATAGAGCTATTCTCCAAATCACTTCATTTGAGCATCTTTCACTCTTATTTCCAAGAGGCAAGAAATATTGAAGTAGCACTTATTTCCTTCAACACTGATACCTTTTTTTTAAGATTTATTTATTTATTTGAATGGCAGAGTTAGAGTTACAGAGAGGCAGAGGCAGAGAGAGAGAGGGAGAGCAAGAGGGAAAGGGAGAGGTCTTCTATCTGCCTCTTCACTTCTCAAATGGCCGCAACGGCCAGAGCTGGGCCGATCTGTAGCCAGGAACCAGGAGCTTTTTCTGGGTCTCCCATGCTGGTGCAGAGGCCCAAAGACTTGAGGCATCTTCCACTGTTCTTCCAGGCCATAACAGAGAGCTGGATCGGAAGTGAGGCAGCCGGGACTCAAACTGGTGCCCATGTGGGATGCCGGCACTGCAGGCGGCAGCTTTACCTGCTATGCCACAGCACCAGCCCCAAGACTGGTACCTTTCATAGTCAGTTATATCCTGTTTATGCCTGTTTCATTTCTGCAGTAAAACCATGAAAACAGTGCATTGTATGGGAGAGGTCTTTGACAAAACTCTATAGTCAAAAAAATGAGATTCCTAAAATAAAACTTTTATCTGCCTCTGAACACATTTTCTGGTTGGCAAAGCCTCCACACTGTTTTTCCATGGTGACAGCCAGCCAGCCACCATGCCTTTGTGAAATGACACAAATTTTCATCTGGCTGTTGTCTAAGATGTTATAGACCTCATCTGTTTTCTTCTTAAGCCCTGAGCAGTGACAAAGTGCACAGAGCTGTCCTATTAGGTTACACTTTACATTTTCTGGCTAAGGTTAATCATAGTGTTACAGTTTGCCATCTTCACAGCATACCAGCCTTGAGAATACAAACCAAATGACCACTGGCAATGGTATTCTAGCAGCAGTCTGGTTTCTGCACTGGTTTTTGAGGCTTTCTCTGTGGAGGGTTGTGGAACACATTCTCAGGGCCTCTGCTGGTAGACTAAGAGACCCACGAGGAAGCGAGTCTGCCCCGCCAAGCCGCCTGCTCCGTCACTCCTCACATCTGACATGTCAAGTTCTGATAGTTCTGCCTCTGAAAAATCTCACCTCCATCTGCATCTCTCCAATGTCTACTGTTCCTTCTCTGCTGTCTGCCACTACCATCTCTGTTCTGGGTAAATGCC